AGCTCCAGAGAGGTCTGCGCAGGGTTCACCCCGATCGTCTCTTTCTATTGTTGAGGCAGTGCCAGAGTTGCTTTCAGTTAAATGTTTATTTCAGGCCGTTCCCAGGCAGCGGCTGGACGGAAGGAAGCTTAAGGCAAAAGCCCTGTTTTGGAGGCTCTGGTTACCTGCCTGGTCGTGCTTGCAAGCAGTAGCTCTACGCCAGCAGATGGTGACTTCCGCGGTCATTGCTCCACTTCTTTTAAGGAGGTGAGATTTTTCTCCTCTAGAGTGCTTTGCAATGCAGATCTGACATGACTCCTTATAACTTGGTGCTTAAACCCAGAATGCTTACTTGATCCTGTTAATGGTGTGGACCCATGGACCATCATGCTGGCAAGAGGTAGAAGTGTGATGGAGTCTTCAGGGACAGGAGGTCCTTATGCTGGTACTGCAGTAAAAGCTCCAGGGTCTGTTAGGAAGAAATGAGACTCGTTCATCCTCCTGATGACGTTTCTGTTGTACCACTCAAAATTAGCTTGGAAATGAGGCTTTTGGGTGTTTCAGAAGCTTAACTGAGGCAGCACCTTCATGAAGGTGCTTGTTCTTGATGTTTGTAAATGCATTCAGCAGCAGGATGGGACTGTTGTGAATGTTCTAAACTTAATTATATTGATGATAGGGTTGAGTGTCTCTGGCTTAGAATAATAGAATCGTAGAATGGATTGGATTGGAAGGGACCTTTAAAGATCATCTGGTGCAACCCTCCTGTGGTAAGCAGGGGCAATGTTACTAGATCAGGAATCAGGGGGAAAGCCAACAAGGGTAATACTGTGGTGGGAGTGTTGTTAGAGATCACCCAACAAAGATAAGGAAGTAGATGAAATAGTCTATAAGCAGCTGGAAGAAGTCTCACAATCACTTGCCCTTGTTCTCATAGGGGAATTCAACTTCCTGGACATACAGCACAGCGGAGAGGGAACAATCCTGGAGGTTCCTGGAGTGTGTGGAAGGTAACACACTCGCTCCCTGGTGAGGGAGCCAGCGAGGTAAGGCAGGCCCTGCTTGACCTTCTGTTTGTCAACAGAAAAGGTCTTGTGGGTGATGTGATGGTTGGAGGTCGCATTGGCGACAGCGATCACAAAATGATAAAGTTCTCAATTGTTGAAGAAATGAGGAGGGGGGTCAGCAGAACTGCCACCTTGGACTTCTGGTGGGCGGACTTTGGCCTGTTCTAGAGATTGGTTGACCTCCCTTGGGAGGCAGTCATGAAGGACATAGAGTCCAGGAAGGCTGGACTTTATTCCGCAAGAAGGTGTTCTTACAGGCACAAGAACAGGCTGTCCCCTTGTGCTGAAGGACGAGTCAGCAGGGTCGAAGGCCGGCCTGGCTGAATAAAGAAATTAGGTTGCTGCTTAGATTAAAAGAAAGAGAGTTTATGGTCTTTGGAAGGGGGGGCAAGCAGCTCAGGAGGACTGCAAAGTTGTAGTAAGGCTCTGCAGGAAGAAAATTAGAAGAGCCAAAGCCCAATTAAAAATTAATCTGGCCTCTGCTATTAAACACAACAAGAAATCTTTCTGTAAATTTATTATCAATAAAAGAAGGTCTAGAGAGAATTTCCACCCTTTATTGGATGCACGGGGAACACAATGTCCAAGGATGATGCAAAGGCTGAGTTATTTAATGCTTTCTTTGCCTCAGCCTTCAGAAGTAGGACCAGTTGTTCGCTGGGTACCCTGTCCCTTGGGCTGGAAGACAGTCATGGGGAGCAGAATGAAGCCCCCACAATCCAAGAGGAGATGGTTAGTGAACTGCTCCACTGTTCAGACATCCACAAGTCTATGGGGGCAGATGACATCCACCCAAGAGTACTGAGAGAGTTGGTGCAAATGCTCACTAAGCCAATTTCCATCATTTACTAGCAGTCATGGCTGACCAGGGAGATACCAATTGACTGGGAACTGGCAAATGTAATGCTCATCTTCAAGAAGGGCAGAAGGAGGACCTGGGGTACTACAGACCTGTCAGTCTGACCTTGGTGCCAGGGAGGTCACGGAGCAGATAATTTTGAGTGCCATCATGCAGCATGTGCGGGACAACCAGAGGATCAGGCCTAGTCAGCATGGGTTCAGAAAGGGCAGATCCTGCTTGATAAACCTGATCTCCTTTTATGACAGTGTGACCCACATTGTGGATGTGGGATGAGGGAAAAGCTGTGTATGTTATTTACTTGAACTTTACTAAAGCTTTTGACACTGTTTTCCACAGCATTCTCTTGGAGAAACTGGCTGCTCATGGCTTGGATGGGTGGATGCTTTGCTGGGTAATAAACTGGCCGGATGGCTGGGACCAAACAGTTGTGAATGGAGCTAAATCCAGTTGGCGACCAGTCACAAGTGGTGTTCCCCAGGGCTCAGTGCTGGGGCCACTTCTGTTTAATATCTTTATCAATGATGTGGATGGTAGCCTCAGTAAGTTTGCAGATGACACTAAGTTGGGTGGGCATGTTGGTCTCCCTGAGGGTAGGAAGGCTCTGCAGAGGGACGTGGACAGGCTGGAGAGATGGACTGAGGCCTATTACATGAGGTTCAACAAGGCCAAGTGCAAGGTCCTGCACTTCGTTCACGACAATGCCCTGCAATGTTACAGGTTTGGGGAGGAGTGGCTGGAAAGCTGCCTGGAGGAGAAAGACCTGGAAGTGTTGATTGACAGCAACTGAACATGAGCCAGCAGTGTGCCCAGGTGGCCCAGAAGGCCAACAGCATCCTGGCCTGTATTAGGAATAGCGTGGACACCAGGAGCAGGGAAGTGATCCTTCCTCTGTACTAGCCATGGGTGAGGCTGCACCTTGAGTACTGTGATCAGTTTTGGGACCCTCACTACAAGAAAGACATTGAGACACTGGAGTGTGTCCAGAGGAGAGCAATGAAGCTGGTGAAGAGTCCGGAGAACAAGAATTATGAGGAGTGGCTGAGGGAGCTGGGGAAAAAAGAGGCTGAGGGAAGACCTTATCCCCCTCTACAGTATCTGAAAGGAGGGTGTAGTGAGGTGGGTGTGAGTCTCTTCTCCCTCATGACAGGTGATAGGACAAGAGGAAATAGCCTAAAGTTGTGCCAGGGGAGGTCTCGGTTGGACATCAGAAGAAACTCTTTCACTGAGGGGGCAATTGAATACTGGAATAGGCTTCCCAGGGAGGTGGTTGATTCATCCCTGGAGGTGTTCAAGAGACGCATTGACGTGGTACTAAGGGACATGATTTTGCTGAAGATTTGGTAGAGTTAGGTTATGGTTGGACTTGATGATCTTAAACATCTTTTCTAGCAAAATGATTCTGTGATTCTAGGATCTATGGTAACAAGGGAGTGAACTAAAAGTTGTTCAGCAGCTTTCTAGAAAGAGTGAACATTATCTGTAGTTGTCTAAAAAGCTAATGTGGGAACAGGAGGAGACAACAATAAATGTGATGGGGCTTAGCACTAGGATGGGTAAGTCATGAGGATAAGTTGTTCCTAAGAGTGTAAGCTTGGGCAACATCTCTGTGTTATCTACTGTATTTATCTTTATTTACCTGTTTACCACATAGCTAGCTTTTTTGAGTAGTTCTGTGTCTGCAGTTGGATTCTAACTTAACACTGCAACAATTTATTTGCTTAAATATTTGATTCAGATTAGTTAAGTGTCTGAACTGAAGTCTCTGGTAGTCTTTATTGATCTGTAAACTATGTTTTACCTTAAGAAAAAATATAACAAATTATTTAGAGGTATTTTTCTGGAGTGTTGTTAGCTTTCTTTATACTAGGGTCATGGGTGTCTGCAGCTCTGAGCAAAAAATCACACCTGCCATATGGTTAAGCACTTGAAGAAATGCTCAAAAATGTGGCAGAATTTCCATCCTTGCATATGATCAAAATTCATCTGAATGTGGACCTGATTTGCAGGCTACATTGAAGCCAGCTCCTTCTCTGAGATGGAAGCTGTACTAGAGATTTTCACAGAACTCTTCCAGCCTTATTTTTCTGTTCTTCTCTTGCATGTTGCATTCCTCTCGGGAACCCAGCAGACTGCTTTGGCCGCTGAGTAACCAATTCTCTCTTGCAAGAATCACAGAATTGCTTTCTCTAGTGCATAATGCATCATATGAGGCCTACTGGATGGAGATGTAACACATACCATGCAAACTTTGCAACTATCTGAACACTCTGGAAATGCCAGGATACACTTGCCTGAAATCCCTTGACCTGAGTATGTGCATCCCCAGAGCTTGTTATCTTGCTGTGTTTTCTGCAACTGTTACTTAACATTGTTGTCTGTGGCTTCAGATGCCCTGGTTATTGCTGTTGATTTGGTATGCCCACAGACTGTATTTACTTTTCACTCGAGATTGTGGTACTTCTTCATGGCTGCTAGTCCAGGCTAATTTAGGATGGGAGAAAACAGATACATAGAGGTAATCTGAGCTGAGAAAAGCAGAGAGCAATGAGCAAAAGAAGTTGGAAACCTTGGCTGGACAAGTTTGAAAGGTAGGGAATGTTTTTTGTTGTATGCCAGACCTGAACTTATTCCTCCTTTTTCATTTGCTGCAGGTTGTATAACAACGATGATATGATCAGGATCTGCTGTTACTTATTTACCTAAAGAATTTCCTGTTTCCATCCAGTTCTGAGTATTTGTGCTGAAAGGGATGAAAAAAGGATCTTGTCCCCGTTCCGCTCCAGACAATTTAGTGAAGTCAAATCTAGACGGTAACAGCAGCAATGAAGCCTCAGTGAAAGAGAAAAATGTGCTTTCCTCTTCTGACAAACTGGAAAACGTACAGCTGAAACCCAGCAGAGAAACATCCAGGAAAAAACTCTGTGGCTATTTAAATAAACTGGGCATCAAGGGACCAATAAAGACCTGGAAGTCTCGCTGGTTCTTTTATGATGAAAACAAATGTCATTTACTCTACTACAGAACTGCACAGGACATCAACCCTTTGGGGTCTATTGACCTCTGTAGTGCCAACTTTGACTGCAAGGTGGAAAATGGAGAAGGGGTTTTTGAGATCAGAACACCAAACAGAGCTTTTACTTTGAAGGTAAGGGGCAGAATCTTCTTCTGTGGGCTGTTATGAAACATTCCTAATCAGGACAGACACAGGTCAGCTACAATACCTCTTAGCTCGAGTTTTGCTTCAGTTCTCCCAGCCTGGACTGTTACCATTTGGGCCTAAATTGCTTGCATTGTTTTGACAAGACAGACTGCATTACCTGTGAGATGACTGTTACTTAACTGAACAGGAGTAAGAACCAAACTGCGTGCTGAATTAAAATCATTGAGGAGTCTGGCAATCCACATGTAATTTGCTGAACAGAAATGCGGTCCCCTGTCTAAAATGGTTGCTCCAGAAGGAACCTTTACTAGATTTTTATATCTGAAAAATTGTGATTAAGAAGCTCTGTGGGTGATTCCTGGCTAAAACAGCCATAACATTTCTGCTTAGTCTTGGAGCATAGTAAACCAAAAAACATTTAAAATGAGGTCAGCAGTCCACTGAGGTTCTGTTGACTAAGGCCATGCTAAAGATTTACTGTGTCCTCCCAAATCAGTGTTAGGACCAGAGCATAGGCTTGGCACAATTGGCCTTTATTTCTGCTGACTTAGTCAGTAAAGTGGTTGTCAGCCCTTCAGGATATGTCTCATGCTGATGAGATTACTCCCCTTCCTGTTTTGTGTTATCTTAGGCAATCAGCAAACAAGCAATGATGTACTGGCTGCAGCAGCTACAAATGAGACGTTGGGAATTTTGCAATGCTCAGAGCAGATTTCCTATGGGCAGCTCCCAGCTTGTGAATGAACCTCTGGCTGGCAGAACAAGTAGGTGTTGCATTTGTCAGCCTTTCTTTTGCATGCAGTTCCCCACTGATGAATGGTGCTCCTCCTCTGTAAATGGGCAGAGGTTTTGGCCAGGTTTTTAAATGCAGTTGCCAACTATCAGTGTTTGGTCAATGTTTGGATTTCCTGGCCTTATGGATGAATGTGAACAGGCTGTCTCCTATCTCACAGTGTGTGGTTGAAGGTGCTCGAGTATGTTATGGTCGTGAATTCCCTCTTGATCTCCCACATGCATGTGAAGTGTGCACATTTGATTTGTCTCCTTCCTTTTGAGAGGCCTGTGAAATTTACAGCAAGCAAGTTTTTTTTTTCAGTGGTGGTGGGATGAAGATATGCATTCCTAGCAGTGGGAGTACACAGGCCAGGATTGCAGGAGGGCACAAGCAGGGTGTCCCCCTGTTTAGTAATGACTGGGTGCCCATTTTGTTTGAAACAAATAACGTCTTAGTAAGTATCTGCTCTAAAAGGTTCTGGGTACCTTGAAATTTCACTAGAGTGGGCAAGAACTTGGTAACAAACTGTGTTTGTGCAGTGTTACCTGCACATTAAAACTCTCAGACACTGGGATGGGGGAAAAGAACAGCTCCCTTCCTTATTCCTTTAGATGCTTAAAGTTTGATTGTTTACGGTTAGTCATTCTCATATACAAATTGTTGAAGTCACTTGATTGTCCTCGATCACATGACTCTATTTGTACATGGACCTCTCTAATTTGATCTAAAACCAAGGACACCTGCTCTGCTGCCCTTATTTCACCTGGCCAGTTGAACATGGAGTGTATACCTGTAGTATATTTTAATTTTAATTTTGTGGCTCTCAAGTTACATGAAGGAGCCTAAGTCAAATGGAATTCTGTCTTGCTCACTTGCTTCTGTGTCCTGATTTGGTTTTACATAGATGTTGCTGACAGTGAAAACTTTCTGCCTCCGGTGAAAACACCAACAGAAGCAGTGGGTTTAAAGGCAGCGGCTTTGCCTGCACCGCAAACATCTACTGCTTTGCAGAACATCTCCCTTAAGCACCCTTGGACAGAGATACAGTAAGTACATGAGGAAAGCTGCAGTGTGGTTGACATGCTGGCCTGCCACTTTGTGCCTTCCTTGCTGGTCACATTTTGTGTGAAATGGGACTCCTGCCTAGGTGGAAGAACCACAAAGTAGTTTTTTGAAGGATATTCCAGGTGAAAGTAAACTTACTGCATCTCTTTTCTGCATCAAAGTCTATTGAGTTAGTTGTGGCAAGGTTCTTAAATGTGGTCCAGAACACAGGACCTGTAGCCATTTCATATGTGATCATTGTGGTAGTTTTGGCTTTGCTGTTGATAGCTGAGGTTTTCTTGACACCTGGAGATTTCTGCAGTGAGCTAAAGGAAGGGAGGGAGGGAGGAAGAGAGAGAAGAAAGAGAGATGATTGGTCTGCTGTTGCCTTTAATCCCTCTATCCAACCTGATGCATTTATGTACAGGGCTCAAGCACATGGGGAGAGATCTCCAGCTGATTTACACTGCACTGTGCTGGTACTGATTCTGTGACACTTTCCAAATTTACACCAGTTGCAACCTTGCTCCCTGCAGATCCACCAGTGCCATAAACAGTTCATTTTCGCAGCACATGAAGGAGATAGGTTTTGGGAAGAGGGGTGGAATATGAGGAGAGGTAAGGAATGGAATGGTTTGAAGATGCACTGACTGCAGTCATCATGACTTCGGTTCACTAGGCTGTGTTGATCTCTTCTTGTTTCAGAAACACTGTCTACAATATCTGTGGCTCCAAGCAGCTGTGGGGGAACAATGGGAACATCTTTAGCTTCAGTGAATTCCAGGAGCATCCTGAGAACCTGGATGAGGAGCAAGAGGCAGAAGTGGAGTCAGGGTGTGCAGGTGCTTGTTACTGAGCTGTGTGAGCTTCTCTGAGTATGATGCCTTCTACCAGTGAGTCAGACTTCGCAGGAAAGGTAGGGAGAGGTGGCAAGTCATCAGGGGGCATGATAACTATCACATTGTCTCAGGTTCCTTCATGTTGTTGGCACAAGACTGAGTCTTCTGACCTGTCTTCAGTCTGAATCTATCTCCTACATCTGGAACCTTCTGCAGAGGCAAAAATACCATCCATGGTGCCAGCCCATACTGGTATTTCTTTGAGGTAGGAGCTAAATTGCTGCACAGTCACAGGCTAAGCTTAGCAGCTCTGCTGTATGCTTGGGAAGTTACCTCTCCACGATCATAACTTGCATTTGTTGTGTGCAAGATAGATGGGTGGAGTACAAGGTGGGTTAACAGGTACCATAAAGTGTCATGGCTTTGTTTATTCTGGGAGTACCTTTGGCTGATCCCTACTCTCTGTGCTTCAATCCTGCGAATTTTAGCAGGTCAGTTTTCCTTATCTGGTGTGTCAGTCTTCAGTGCTGAGCTGTTGTGTGTGCCCCCCATAACAAAACTCAGGAGTGCAGGGTAGCAACCCAAATCTGTGTAAATTAACCCTATTTCCCTTCAGTTAAGGAGGAAATCCTGGAGGATGGAAGGATGGAGCCCAGGTTGAACTGGGTTAGGAAAGCCAGGTGGATGAAGAGTGGCTTCCCAGGCTTGCCTGAAGAGCTGTCCAGAGAGAGGAACCCAATGGATAAAGTGAGTGTCCTACAGCAACAGATCCTGACACTCACAGAGGAAGTCAAGTCACAGAGGGTGAGTGTGGCCAAGAGCCTGCTGCTTCTAAGAGCAGGGCCCTGAGACTGGTCCCTAGGACTCCCTTACACCTTGGTGCTAGACTGAGAAGTGCTCTGCAGGCACTCACTGGGGATCAGTTGAAGCTCCTGGTGTTACCCCTTTGTATGTGCCTGATTGTGCCCAGTGCAGGGGAGAATGGGCTATCCTTCAAGCACTTCTACAAAGTGCAGTTAGCAGATGGGCTGGAAAAGTGAGGTAAAACAAATCCAGGTATTCTCCACAGGTGTCTGGCTGGTGCATCTCTATTTCTCAGTGAATGTACAAAGTACAGTCTTGAATCTGTACTGTGACACTGGGAGGAGCTGCCAGGCTGAACCATGCTGTTAACAGTAGATCATTATTTTTGAACAGTGATCCACCATTTGTCTGATTTTGTGATTTGTCTGTAGGAGTCAGCACATAGGTCACTGCAAGGGCTGTCTCTCTTGAATGTTCTTCTCTAGCATGGGGCAATGCCAGGCTCTCCACTCATGATGTTGGTAGCTCTTCCAGCAGAAAAGGCAGGAGAGCTGGGTCGTGTGGTGGGGAATCAATTGCATCCTTGATTTGCTTCCTTAAGTTGCTGAGCCTGAATCAGCAGCATGTTGCTGGGGCAAGCTTTTGTGCCTTAACGTGGGGTGGAGTGAGGGAGGACTCTGGCAGAGGGAAGTTTAAAATGGATACAGCAGTTTCCTTCTGGTAGCACAGATAGATGCAGACTGTATTATTTCTCTCCCTACAATTTTACCACACTGCTGACTGGATCTCCAGCTTTTATGGCCTCTGAAGGGCCTCCCAAGAAGGATGACTGTAGAAGGTCAGAATTCAGACAGTGTGAGCAGCAGCTTGTCTGTTAGCAATCCACTTAAAGTCAAGTCACCCATGGCCTGCTGCAGAGACCTTCCAGGCCCAGCTTTGACAGCAGAGCTTCTCTACTACTGGAACACTGTGATTTCAAAATTTCTGTATTCAGTTTTGCATCTGAAAGGAGTAAATTTCACATCCTGAGGGCCTTTCACTGTTCACTCATTACTGGTTGGGTCTGTGTCTGAGCTGCCATTGCCCTGGGCAGCACTGTGATGTGATGGCTTTGCATTCCCTTTCCAGGAGCTGGTTAAACTTCTCCACAAAGCTCTGGAGGCAGCCCAGCAGGAGAAGCGAGTATCTAGCATGTATCTTACCGCAGCAGAAGATAAGGACAGGCTGGAGCTGGTGCGCCACAAAGTGAGACAAATTGCAGATCTCACCAGTCGACTGGAAGTTCTTGAGCAAGAAAAGAAGGAGCTGGAACAGATACTGACTCTGAGAGACAGCCACATCCAGGAACTCAAGGAGCATGTGCAGCTTCTGATGGATAGGAACCATGCCAAACAGGAAGTCATCATGACCTTGACGGAACAAATGGCTCGAGAGCTCTCTGAACCTCTGCAAGAAGCCAACACTATCACTGCAGATACACTGTATAAGCAGCAGGAGGAGATTGAGCACCTGAAGGTGTGTGAGACGGCACAGGTCATTTGGGGATCCAATTTCTGTGCCCTCTGGTTCATTGAGAAGGTGTTCCTTGTGGGAAGTGTAGAATATACTTCTGCTAGTTGCTCCATCTGTCTCCAGACCAGAGGCAGGCTAGAAAGGGATCACTTGATAGCAGTAGGGCACTCAAAAGCATCTTGTTTAGTGTCGGTTTCAGCTTCAGCTCAGAGCCTGTGTTGTTTGACTTTGTGTCAGCTGTCAGTGCCTGCCTCTTTCTTCACTCTTCTTTTGTTCCACAGCTGCAGTCTCACTTTCTGCCTTCAGCAGCTTTGTTCCTCTGTGTTTCCGTCTTGCAAGCAGTTTCCTAATACATCCTGGTTCTTTCAAATCCAGTCTGCTGTACGTCACAATATGCACAGTTATAATGACCAGTTAGCATGGGGTGGAGAATTGCCGAAAGTGCCACTTGCTGTGTTATGGGAGAGTGTTTTTGCTGCCAGTCATGGGGCTGAGATTTGTGTCAGCTTTAAAATAATAGAACAAAACACATATATTTTTCATCTTATTTAGAGGCTTCTCTAGCTTTATATCACACAGATGTCTCTGTGTTCTCTACGCAGGTACCTGCAATGCATTTAGCATTTTCAGGTGTCTTGTCTATGCATGTGTTGTGGTTTAACCTGGCAAGCAGCTAACACCATGTAGCTGCGATCTTGCGGCCCGCCCCCCCCCCTTTCCCCCAGTGAAATGGGGGAGAGAACTGGGAGAGTAAAAGTAAAAGAACTCATCAGTTGAGATAAAGACTATTTTAATAATTAAAATAAACCAAGCTGAAATAATAACAATACCAATGAATTGTAACAAGAATAGGAGCAAGGATAATAAAGCAATCAAGTTTATACTCAGCTCACAAACACCAGTCACTGGCCATATGCCAATGACAATGTAACAGAGAAGAGGTAAGCTTCAGGAACCAAAACAGGTTGCCATCATGAAGGCAAAGGGAAAAGGAAAGAGAAGGGACTGAAGGGAAAGGATTGAAGAAGGGATCAAAGGGAAAAGAGAGAGAAGTATCAAAGGGGTTGTTCTTTGCAAACTCCCCAATTTATAGTGAGTGTGACATTTATGGGATAGAATACATTTTTATTTATCTGCTTGGGTCATAACTGGATCATCTGTTCTGGATCACCTGTCCCAGAAAATCCTGGGCTTTTTCTTCTCCCTCCCTCCTATTGTGCAGAGAGAAGAAAAAAAAAAAACCAAAAAACAAATGAAACTATAACCACAAGTGCAGGTGAAAGACTGAAAAATACACCTTGAAAAATGTATACATCTGTTGGTGAGAAACAAAAGAAAACAAAAATCTCACTAGTTACTATAAGGAAAATAACACTATGCCAGCTAAACCAGGAGAGCACGATACTCCTGTTTAATGTTGTGCCTTGATTTTCTTTGTAGGCAATATTTGTCCTGAGGAGTTCTGTTTTCTCCCCAGGACACAAAATTGTTGAGATATTTTCTCATCCTTAATACAATCCACACCTGGGAGCCCCTCAAGAACTCTCATTGTCTGACTGTTTTGCTTCGTGACAGGATGATATTGATGCCTACAAAACTCAGAACCAGTTTCTGAACTCGGAGATCCACCAGGTTACTCGACTCTGGACAAGGGTTGCTGAGAATGAAAAAGCCCTTCTGATGAAGGTAAAGCAAAATGACTTTTTTTTCGCTTGGTGAGAGCTGTTACTAATTTCTTTCCATAGTTGACACTAGTATGGATTTTGATCCAAAACATATGAGGAATAAGCTTTCTTCCTAATGTATTTTTTTAATGGCCTTTTCTTCCTGCTTTGTGTTGTTCCCACATTAGACATGATCATTTCATTCTTTAATAAAAGTAAAATACCTGCAAAACTAATCCTTAAGGATGCTGAAGCTTAACCCAGATCTCTGCATTTCAGCTGTGCATTTGGATACAAATATAAAAGGAGTGCTATGTCAAAAAAAAAGAGGTGGCAAACTGACTGAGCACTGGCTCCATCTAGTCTTGATTTCTCTACCAGGCTTGGCATTGCCAGGTGGCAGTGCACTCACGTCTTGCACCTAGATCAGAGCTCTTATGTTTTCCTGAGCTTTGATTTTATTTCTAGCATTGTAAGTGTGCACAACCTGGTTACTCTCAGACTTGTCTAATCCTGCCTTCTGGTCCTGAACCACTTCCCAAAGCTGCTGGTGTGTGCTGGCATTTGTTCTGTGGGTTTTCTTTGGGTTTTACTTCTGTGGTTTTAAGGTATGTCTCCACAGTCTTGGATTCTGGAACAGGGCAGAAAGCTGCTTCTGAAATGTTACTGCCATTCCTACATCTGTTTGCTTTCTAGTCCTTTGAAACCCAGCCTACCTCCTAACTTACTGCCCTTCTCTGATCCTGAAACTGCCATAACCTTCAGAAAGGAAGTAATCAGACCAACATGCTCAGTGTGAGGCAAAATGCTGATTAAAGTGCTAGTATGACAGTATCCCATGCTCCTTTGTGTCCCCTGTATATGCAGCCTAATTCTCTCTGTGGTTTGTGTTTTCAACTGCTGCTTCGCACGGAGCAGGAGTCTTGATTGAGCTTCCTGTGAGACATTGGGTGAGTCTCATCACCTGTGTGACCTCAGGTCCCCACTTGTGGAGTGGGGATAACAGTCCTCATTTCTTTTTTCTGCTTTGTATGCCCAAGAGTATTATGGTAGCAGGGACTGTCCTGCTGTTATAACTCAGGTGGGCTTCCTGTGCTTGAGAAATGTTGTGTACCAGTGCAGTGGGACTGGGGTTGCTGCGGGGCATGTGCTCACCTTGTCTGTGGTGCTACTGTGTATCCTGAAAATGCTATGGTTGTAGCTCGGTCCCAAGGGTGGTGTGTTTTGTCAGGATATGGCTCAGTGTGGGGTAAAGAACTTGTCTGAGGAGCAGGAAAAAATTCCTGCAGACAATTCAGCTGCAGTGGTGGCTCTTTGGTTGTCTCCTGAGCCAAGCTAGCTGGGATGTGGCCATCCACTGATGCAATGCAGTAGCTAAACTAGGTGATGCTGTAGCAGGTCACCCCCTCAATAAGCAACTTGCATTGCATGCTAGCCACTGCAGCTTGTGCTTGTTCATAAACCACAGTGATTCATTCATAGCTGCAATTCCACTGACTGTAGAAAACTGCTTGATGTTTTTTCTGGGGCTTTGCTATTCAAGAGTCTTCGCTTTATGCGCAGACCAGGCCAGCAGAAAACAGTGGCAGCGCATGAAGAACCATCAATGAGCCAGCTCATTCCCTCTTGTTTCCCCATCAGTGTGCCTGCCTGCAAGCACGAAACTGTCAGATGGAGAGCAAATACCTGACAGTCTTGCGGAAGCTGCAGGAGGCTGTGCCTGGCCTGCCCAGCTCCCATGCAGAGCTGGTGAAGAGCCTCATCCAGGAAGCGCTCCAGTGGGATGTGAAGGAAGAAGCAGAAGAAAGTTTTAACCTGAACCCTGTAAGGTAAGAGGCAAGAGCATGGGGATATTCACACCCTAGTAGGAGTCTGGTTGCGGAGGGGAGCTTGCAGCTAGGACGATCTAGGGACATTTCTATGGTAGGGACGTGGATCTGTGACCTAAGTGAGGAGGCTGAGGAGGCTGGTTTAGTTTGGTGGTATGGAGACCATGAGATAGCGGCATCTGATGGCAGTATATCACTGTTCCTACAGGGGAAGTTAAAGATGGTACAGCTAAACTTTCCTTGGCAGTGTCAGACAGTATGGCAAGTGACAACAGCCATGGTGTGCCTGGGAGGTGAACACTGGACATGAAGATAAACTCCTTCTGTAGGAGAGAACACCACCTGGGAGCTGGAGATTTCCATCTTTTGAGGTTTTCTAGTCCAAGCCATACAAAGCTCTGTTGCCCTGTTCTAGTGCTGGTGTCAGTCCTGCAGTGAAGGGGGGCTGGACTGGAGATCTCCAGAGAGCCTTGCCACCAGCACTGCTGGCGTCCTTGCATTTGTGTTTAAGCTTTCCTGCCCAGTTAGTGCCCTGGTTCTGTAGGAGTTTCCATTTAATCTGGTTGGTCAGACTTGCAGGTTCTCCAGGTAGCTTTGGAGGTGAGATCCCAGGGCCAATCTTTGCCCAGAATATAATGATATCTTACAAGTATCTTAGCCTGTGGACTGATGATACACAAACCCTCAATGAACTGTACTATCAGTGCTCATGGTGTTTTCTGATCAGTAGGAGATTTGCACTGTGTACAGGGAGACATCAGAAGGTACTGTGGATCTCTGTTTTTTGGTCTGATGCCCTAAAGCCTTTGCAGTTCCTTCCTACAGAACAGTCTCTGCACTAAAACATGGTAGGTAGAAGGTATGCAGGTTGAGCTAGATACTCCCTTAGGGGCAAGGCAGCAGATACGGTCAGAGAGGTCTGATAAAGTTGGGCTGTAACTGAAAGCAAAGTTGCATTTGAGTCATTTGTGTATGCCGTTGCTGCAGGCTCACATTTATCTTCCAGACTCAGACAGTAGGTGTGGCAGCTGCGAGAGAAGTGAAGTAGGAGTACCTGTGCTCCAGGATGGGTGACAGTAACCTGGAAGCACATGGTAGTTGGCATGACCCCAGGCAGTGAGTGGCTCTCGACACAGGTACCTTTGAACTAACCTCTGCCTTGTGTCCCTCCAGTGAGTATGATGAGTATGGGTTCATGACCATACCTGAATATGAAGTTGAGGACTGGAAACTTCTGGCCAAAATCCAAGCCCTGGAGATAAAGTCCAACAACCTGCGGAGCCAGGAAGTAGTGGAGAAGCCCCTCCGTGAGAGGTGGAACAGCATTGGAGAGCTGAGCCCCTCTGCAGAGCTGAAATGCCTCATCCGAAGTGGCATTCCAGTGGAGCATCGGCAACGGGTTTGGAGGTGGATGGTCAGCCGGCACTGCAGCCATCTGCCTGACCACTACCAGCGACTGTTGCGACAGAGCAAGAGCACTGAGCATCCTGCCTGCCGGCAGATTGAGCTTGACCTGCCCCGCACACTGACCAACAACAAACATTTTTCCTCTCCCACCTCCCAGCTCATCCCCAAGCTCCGGAGGGTGTTGCTGGCATTCTCCTGGCACAATCCTGCCATTGGATACTGCCAGGGACTGAACAGGTGAGGAGCCAGGTATGATGCTTCTTCATGGGGTAATGCTAAGAAAGTGTAGATGCATACTCTAGGCTGTGATTCAGGCAGCCCCAGGCTCCTGCCTCTCTAGTGTTCTGTCCTGGCTCTTAACTATTTTCCTGAACAATTTTGCATTTGGTGTCTTTTTTTTACCCAGTGTAATTACTGGGATTAAGCAAGCAGCAGGATGCACTTGTTTGGCATCTCCATAGTTAAAGAATAGGAAGGAGCAGCTGTAGGAGGTAGAGTGAGGCAGTCCCAGAATAACAACATGAGGCTGGGGCTGAATTTCTGAATCTCAATATGCTTAGCAGAAGAACACCCTGATGATTCCCCTTCTTGCTTAGAGAGACAAGGTATTTGCAGCAAATGACATGAGCACAGACTTAGAAAACTGTAGTTGTTCTGTCTGGAGAAGAGAAGGTTCAAGGAATCTAAAAGCTGCTTTCACTTCCTAAAGAAGGCTATAGGAAAGATAAAACCAGACTTAGAAATGTGCTGCCATGTAAAAGAGGCACTGGGCACTAGCTGCAAGAAGGGAATTTCTGGTTAGGCCTTTTCACATGAGAAAAGTCTGTGTAAGCTATTGGTGTTGTGGATGGTCTTCAGAAAGACGTTTTCCACGCTAGAGAGCCCTTGATAATAGGTACCATCTTTCCAGTCTGGCTGAAAAGTGGTAAGTCAAAGCTGAAGGGGGTAAGGGCTGTAGACAAATGTATGGGAAGGTGACCTATGTCACATAATATGGAATATCTCTGAGTGAACTCTTCTCTGTATTGAAGTAGCCTCTCTGACCAGCTGTCCTGCCATGTTTGACGTTTCTGACACACATGGAGCTAGAGACATGCCAAGAGGAATCTTGGATTCTGTAGTTCCTGAGCTAGCCCATGTCTCCTCCTGCAGTGCTGCATTGCCTCACCATGTCTTGTCTATCACAGATTGGCAGCTGTTGCCCTCCTGGTCCTGCAAGATGAGGAAAGTGCTTTCTGGTGCCTGGTCCATATTGTGGAGAACCTAATGCCGGCAGACTACTACAGTGACACACTGATAACATCACAGGTGAGCTGGGCACTCTCACATCTGCTTGCATTCTGATAAAATGATTTACAGTAACAATTTTAAAACAAGCAATCAATTTGCAGTGTTTTTGACTTCTCACAGGACAGTGATACCACCTTTCAATCCCTTCCATTGCAGAGATGTTGTAGACTTGAGAGTACTAAGTTGTTACAGGCACAGGAGCAGCAAAATTGATCCCCAGCTCTAGGATATTGGGCACCAATCCTGAGTAATCACTTGAAGGTCAGATTAATCGGAAGGAAGGTGCCAATTAATTGCACAGTTACTTATTTTAAGAAGGGCCTAGTAGAGGTGAAGCGGCAAATTCCAGCATGTGTAGAACTTAAGTATGAAGAAGGTACCATTCTGCAGCCCTTCAGATGTTTCTTTGGAAACTGCCCCCTGTCTTTGGGGTCCCATGTGCAGATGGAAGGAAATAATGAGATTTTTATGTTCACTGTACTTGCCTCAGTTCATGATCAAATACAGTGTTAGTTCTGGCTTTGGGGTTCTCTGCAGATCAGAAAACCCTCTGGCCTTTTGATGTAAAACTGTGAGTAACTTCCTGGTTCAAAGTCACTGGATTTCAAGGTTCTCAAGATGTCTTGTATCAGATATACTGCTTCCTCCGAGGCAGACACAGAGCCAAGAGAAATCCCGTATCGTTCAATGGAATTGTAATTGTGTACCTATACCACCCACACCCAGCAGTGCCTGGTCTGGTGAGCCTGGCTGTGACCTTGGTTTGTTCATTATTTGTGGTCCTTTCTGAGAGGTGAGGGTTGTATCTGTGGGCCCACAACAGCTGAGGGTTCAAGCACCAGGAGCTGAGAGTGACTGATTCTGCCACTGAATTGGTTGTTTACTGGGACAGTGGTGTGCTGACGGAGAGGGCAACCCACAGGTTGGGAAAGCAGCCAAATCACTATGCAGATAGCAAAATGTCTATCCAGAGCAGGTAGTGTTAGCTGTGAGATTTAATAGGTAATTCTTGACAAATAGTGATTGACAGGGAAAACATGGCAGACTGAAGACACAAAGCCTCTCTTATATTTGGTGAGGAAAGATTGTCAGCTGAGGGAACATTTTTTTGGAAAGACTTCCTGACCTCATGGTTGGTCTCTAGAAGTCTAGCCAAGACCCATGTAAAGCAGAAGGTCTAGGATAATGCTTTGTGGGTTGGCTTGATAAAGTGAAAGCTCTGAGTTGGCTGGAAAACTTAAGGTTTAGCTCTTGCGGATTTCAAAGACCAAGCATACCACCTCATCTAGTTTGTACCACTGTTCCGCAGCTAAGGGGGCTGACACAGCTAGGGCAGTAGTATGGTATGGCGCAGGAAAGATCTAACCATGATCTTGCTCCTTAGCACTTTCCCTCATGAAACCATGGCTTCCCTGAGATGAAGCCTTTACAAACCTGGGTCAAGGATCCCTCCAGTTGCATTTCTGTGTCTTGGCTCATGTAACCAGAAGCAGAGCACAGACAATACTCAGACCACATAATGAAGCCAGGTGAGAAGATCTGGTCCTGCTTGCGAAGTCAGAAAGATTCTAGGCATTTATTCTGTTGTGCATTCATTCAAGACCCGGGAAAGTTTTAATCCTTGTCATTCAGTTGGATGCTTGTGACATCACAGAAAATCCCAGTAAGTCTGATGCAGGAAGATGTGGCAGCATTTGCCCTCTTGACTTTGGGGTTGGGAAGGAATATGATCCTCTGAGTGAGAAGAATGCATGTATCTCTGCTTGTATCTTGGCCCTGTTTCAAATCCACACCTTGCACTGGGTACAGCATGCAAGTACACTGCTCAGTGATGTTGAAGGGTTGGGAGACAAAGGGTGCTCTGCTCTTCTTGGGGTGTGGTTAGGCTAGAAGGCAGCACTAGTGATTACTGTGGCATGCATGGACCACTGGCCTGTTGCACTGCCCCTCTCCTCCCAGGACTGCTCTTGACTAGGACTTAATTGTTTCCTTTTTTGTCAACTTTAGGTAGATCAGAGAGTCTTCAAAGACTTCCTGTCAGAGAAGCTGCCTCGCCTCATGGCTCACTTTGAGCAGTATAAAATTGATGTCTCACTCATCACCTTCAATTGGTTTCTGGTGGCCTTTGTGGACAGCCTGGTCAGCGACATCCTTCTGCGAGTGTGGGATGCTTTCTTGTATGAGGGAACTAAGGTACAACTCTCAGCTTAGGCCTTCTTCCTATCCTCAGCACCTCTGTGACGTCGAGACAGGGCAGTGGACATACACATGTGTCAAAGAGATGTGGGGTTGAGCCTCTTGTCTTGTCCTGCCTGTTTGGTGGGGTGCCTTCATGCCTGCCAACCTCTGTGTTGTCTGTGTACCTGCTGCTGGTAGGCGGACCTAGTCCCTGATACTGTGCACAGTATCTCTGGCACTTTCTAGCGGGTAGTCCTGCTATGAAACATCTCTCTGACAGGCTGTAGTGTCTTCTGTGACCCAGACACGGCTGAGAGCATGACAGATACAGGGAGCAGAAGATAGCCAGAGAGTTATTATTTCTGAAAGCATGAGTCTTACGTTGGCCCTGTGCATAGGGAGAACTGGAGAACCCTTGCAAAATCCCTGTGGGGCCCTTTTTAGTATGCTCTGGGTTTGTAAATTAGCTTACAGAGCGTCATTCTTTTGGGATTAGCTCTGTGCTTCTTTAGGCCTGCCCTAATGCAACCTATTGAGAGCAGGAGAAGCCCAATGTCCAGCCCGTAATGCAGTGCTGTGTGCCCCAACCCATGTTTTATGCCAAGAGGTCCTGGTTCCCTCAACTGCCTAGGACTTTGTAAACTCAAATACCTTTCAACCCTCCAGGTGATTTTCCGCTATGCTCTTGCAATTTTTAAATACAACGAGGAGGAAATCCTAGGAATTCATGACAGTGTGGAGATCTACCAGTACCTATGCTTTTTCACGAGAATGATCATGGATGGCAGGTAGGACTGTGGGTTGTAGAAAACCTCCCTTACTGGGTTCATACTTGCTTGCCTAATAGATGAGCCTAAAAAGAGTTGTGACCAGTCTGTTAAGAGAGATGCATGCACATTGGCAGGCCTGTGGAACACAGATCAGTGCGTCTCTTTTTGATTTTTCCTTCATGACATTACTTCAAGTCTGTTTGGCTCAAGCAAAGGCATGCTACAACAGGGCAGGCCAGAGAGTCTGGGCCAGCCTCCCGTTTGCAGCAGCTGGAACTTGTGCAGCCACTTGCTGGGTTTCTCTCAGCTGTAGCTGGGGTATTTGGGAACACAGCACCACGCACAGCCTTAAATGGCAATATGTGTGTGAGAGGAAGATACCTGTAATCAGAAGAGCTCAAAGTAGGGAATATTCCTCCCCCAGGGACCATCAGAATGGGCATCTGATCCACCATCACCTACTTGGTGGCTGCACACTGCTAGTTTAAAAGGTGGTGAGATATAAGGCTGCTTAAAGCATTGCTTGGGGTGGTGTTTGTGTGAGAGGGAGTTGCCTGTGATTCCTTTAAGACTGCTGCTTGGTGACTTCTGAGCTCAGAGAGCTGAATCTGAGGCCCTGCTATTTCCCTATCCAGGATGCATTTGGTGTATCTGTTACCAGCCAGTAAATCAGTTCACCAGGCCTGTCTTTTCCATTGTAGGAAGCTGATGAACATTGCCTTCAATGACTTGAACCCCTTTCCTATGAAACAGCTGAGGAACCGGCGGTCAATGCACAGGGAAGAGTTGGAGGCAGAGCTTTGTGAGCTGGAACAGATCAAGGCGGCCTATGTAAAAGAGAGAGCAGAACAGGGGCCTCAGGACCTGAAGGAGGTTGTTAGTGAAGAGGAAGAAGACATTTGACAAAAACAGAGTTCCCCATCGCTTCCCTCCCACCTTGCAGAAGGTCTTTAGTAGCAACTGTCTGTAAAAGATGGAGCAGAGGGGAAAAGGTGGTCACAGCAGGAGTTCATCTGGCCCAGGAAACAAGCCTGTAGGTATAGGATCATCTGGGGACCAAGCCAGACTTTGTAATGGATTGGAAGGTGTCAAAGGGGTTTTATCCTCTTCTGTACTTCTCCCCATTCAGCCCACCCTATCCTGTGCAGTTCAGGATTACAGCTGAAGGTCCCCATAGGAAATACCAGTTGTGATACCATGCCAGAAATTGACATAGTGCAAACGGCCTAGCCAGGCAGGCCTTTCTGTCTTTTTCTGATGGAGGCTTGAAAGACATCTTTATGCACAAGTAGAATCACTGGAAATAATAAACCAAGAACAGTCCCTCATTGGTACTTAAAGCTTGTGAACTAGTCGGGAAGGAAACCTGCTCTTTGAAGGTATGGTCTCTTCAGTGCCCAGACTGCCAGGAGAGCATGTGTTTAACATTGCAGTTACTGAGTTATGACACTGTCTCCAGATGACTGCTGGGCCTGAAGAAGTCCTGAGAGCTGGAGGACATCTTCCCTTGGGTCTCAGGCTGGGACAAGTTAAGTGGGTTGTGGGACACTGGAGTCGTCTCTCCAGTTTATTTTGATTCCTGTGGAAGTCCGTGGGAGCATGAGGTGTGTCTCACTGCCTGGTTGGGAAATACTGGGAGCTACCTCTCCTCTTTGTTTAGCTTTTAGCAGAGACAACTATGGGTTGTCCTGACCCTGGTAGCACTGTGCCTTTCAGAGGTGAATTTGCTCCATAGAGGAGCTCTCATCTCAGTGTGAAACCAACCACAGGCTGCAGACAGGGCGTAATGTTATGAAGACTTCGATTACTGGGAGCACCTAGGTCTTCTGATCACCTTTCACTTAGCCAGTATGACTGTATGGCCATATCTCTCTGCCTCACAGTTATGCTCCTCTGGTGCTGTTTCTATGTTGATATCCCTGTCTCTGACTCCCATTCATAGCAGGAAGGAGAAGGTCTCTTCTGTAGGAGTTTCCAGTGTTGAAGGTGTTTGACCCATGGAATATGGCACTCTGGGTGTTAACCTGCAGACCACTTGGACAAGGTCACAAAAGATGGCTTGATATTCTGTAGAAAAAAATATCAATTTCTCACAAACAAAGGAGCTGGCCTCCATGGGACTGGCACACAGAGATGCTCTGCGTGCCTCTGGGAATGGAGTCTGATAGCCTTCTCCCCTGCTTCCCAGGCCTGGTTGCCCTGCCTGTGCAGCTCAGTCCTCCACAGGACCAGGATAAGTTAAGTGTTTCAGAAAAAACAGCGTGTTCTCCCCAACATGGTGCCAGATCCTGCTGCCCTGCTTTCCTGCCAAGCAGTGCTTTATTCCAGGTGTGCTGCAGTGCTGGACCTGACACCATGTAGCAGACCCCACTGTAAGGGGGGGCCTTTGCTCTACGTTTTTAGACTGACCATGAACCCAAGCCCATTCAGTGGATGATACCTCCTTCAAACCTCTTGTGGTATAAAGTAACCAGTGCTTGCAGAGGAAAGGAAAAGGAGCATTTATAGTCTGTGCTGTTCTTAACCAGGTGGGCCATAGCCAAGATCACAGACTCTAGTGGAAACAGCATCAGTCTCTATTCACCTGAGACATGTGGTCTGCCTCAGCTCTGCCATAGATAAAACTGGACAAATCAGCCAGTTTCAAAGAATTATGAAAGTCTGAGTGGGGAGAGAACTATGGAGGCTAATCCAAGTGGAAATGAGGTCTTGGGAAGAGTGGGTAGGTGGACAAGAGTGAGGTAGATCCCCTGCATATCACTGTCAGCTGCACACATTGAAAGTGTGGGACGAGAAGAAGATGTTACTGGAGTCTTACCACAGTATCTCAAATAAATGTACTGATTTTAAAATGATGCCACCTAGCTAGAGGGGCTCAAAAGGTAGATTTTTTTTTTTACAGATGATATTGCTAACCTAATTTAGTCATACTGCTATATGCAAGGGTGCACACAAATAGATTTTTGCTACTGTTATGGACTTTTGAAAGGCGTTATCTTTTAAATCAAGACCATGGAAATTAGCAGTATACTTACAGTTGTATTTGTCCTAGATGCTTTTGCAACAGCTTAAAAATATTTTCCTCCATCCTGCCCTGATGGTTTTATTTTTCAAAAGCATTTGAAACATGCATTATTAGATGAAACCATGGCCTAATGTATGTCTACAGTGTATAAACGTTGGTCTATGTGGTATATAATGACCTGTTAAAAAATAAACTTTTCTGAAAAAGATGTAAGGACCAAGCTGTTGTTCCTGATGGGTAATTCTGAAAATAATTTTTAAGTGAAATTAGAAGGGAAGGACGTCTCGAGGTTTTTAGAAGTTTCTTTTCTGTTGTGTTTTCGCCAGCTTTTGGTTTTGTCCCACGGGTGCGGAGACTGAGGGCCATTTCCTCTGGTCATACCGCCAGCCAGTCACTTGTGGACAATCTTTACTAGAATGTGGTGGATGTAGAAACCCGCACCTTGGAGCCAAGCTAACATGTCCTCATGGGCCCTACTTCCCTTCTGCTCCACAAACTTTAGCAACAACCCCAGCTCTCTCAGCCTGTCCTCAGAGGAGAGGTGCTCCGGCCCTCTGATCATCTCTGTGGCCCTCCTCTGGACTCACTCCAACAGTTCCACGTCCTTCTTGTGTTGAGGGCTCCAGAACTGGACACAGTACTGCAGGTGAGGTCTCACCAGAATCACCTCTCTCAATCTGCTGTCTCTGCTTCTTTCGATGCAGCCCTGGATGCGGTTGGCCTTCTGGGCTGCAAGCATGCATTGGTGGCTCATGTTGAGTTTTCCAGAGGAGGGCCACAGAGCTGGGGTTGTTCGGCCTGGAGAAGAGAAGGCTGCGGGGAGACCTTATAGTGGCCTTCCAGTATCTGAAGGGGGCCTACAAGAAAACTGGGGATTGACTGTTTACAAGGGCGCACAGTGATAGGACGAGGGGCAAAGGTTTTAAACTGGAGCAGGGCAGATTTAGACTAGATAGTAGGAAGAAGTTCTTCCTTATGAGGATGGTGAAGCACTGGAACAGGCTGCCCAGTGAGGTGGTAGAGGCCCCATCCCTGGAGATATTCAAGGTCAGGCTTGGTGGAGCTCTGAGCAACCTGACCTAGATAAAGATGCGCCTGCTCACTGCAGGGCGGTTAAGCTAGAAGATCTTCAAAGGTCCCTTCCAACACAACCCATTCTATGAAATGGCTCTTGGATTATCCCAGGCTGGCACCTGGCAGCAAGGCATGGAGATCACTGCTGGGGACAGCTGTTTGCTTCTGAAACTCTGCTCAACTCCCTGGAAGGATTTGGTGGGACTGTTCTTGTCAAGGGCCTGCTTTTCCATCCCCAAAAGGACTTGGGGAAAAGGAAAAGCAGACTCCTATCTCACCACCACAGAATCAAAGCAGAGGCTCGTGAGCTTGCAGCATCTCCCCTTTGGAGGACAACCACTTCTCATCACGCCCACGGGCTCGGCAAAGAGCTGCCACTGTGACCCACAGACTGATGGGACTAAAGCATGGAGAGAAGCCAGGGGTCTCAGGCTCTGTTCAGACAGGACCAGAGCAGTGTTAGCTGAGTGGGTGACCTGGCCAAGGGAATATCCTCTGCCCTTTGATCTTTGGCAGTACTGTCTATTTGGCAAGTTCTCCTGCCTGGCACCAGGTGGGATTGTAGTGCTACCAAGGTACCAGCTGACCCCGAGATCTGAGTGTGAGCTCTGCGGAGCAAACTTCATGCTTCCTATGCCAGATAATGCCTAGGGGTTGGGCACATCCGCCCTGCTGGACTGACCGACCTCCGTGGGAAGGCACTCCGGAGCTCTGTGGGCTCAGGCTCAGCATCAGAGGATGATGATCTCAAGCATTACTATTTTTCATAGTAGCTCGTATGGTGCTATGTCATGCTTCTGTGCTAAAAGCAACTTGAAAACCCATGGATGTGTTAGTTATTGCCGAGCAGTGGCAATAGCAAGTCCAGTTGGAGGCCAGTAAGCAGCGGTGAAGCCCAAGGCAAGGGACACCGCCAGCAGGTGGAGGGAGGTGGTCCTTCCCTGCTGCTGTGCCCTGCTCTGGGCTCCCCGGTGCAAGGCAGACATGTCCACACTGGAGAGAACCCCCAGCCCAGTGCCCTGACTCTCCCCCCAGTGCCCCTCGCACTTTCTGTTGGTCTGGGAACATTGGTCAGCTGGCCACCAGAGACAGCAGCACAGAGCTGAGCTGGCACAGAGCAGCGCTGGGAGGAGGCAGGGTCTGGCCGAGCAGCACCAACCAGGCACCAGGACCAGCATGCCGCTTCCCGTCCTCACTGTCACTGGCTGGGCTGCCTCCTTGGTCCATGGTGAGGGTCCTCCTGGCCCAGGCAGGATGGGCCAGGCCAACTGCTGCTGCAGCTCCAGGTACGCATCGGGACAAGTGGACGTGGCTGTGTCTCGTAGCAGTGGCCCTTCTCATGCCCAGCGCTCTCTGCTCCGCAGAGAGGCTCTCACCGATGCTGAGCCAGTGCTGAGCACAGACATTTGGCTGTGCCAGGGCCCCAAGAGGAGCGAGAGATGCCTTCTCCTCCTCCAGGAGGAAGTGGTGGTGGCCAAGTTGCAGTAAGACCCTCAGAGCCCAGCTGCCTTTCCCCCAGCCCCGGCCCTGGGAGCAGGGCAGGGACAGCCTGGCACCAGCCCCAGGCCCTGGGACCTTGGTGCTGGATGCCCAACATCTGTGGCAAGGGCAGGTGAGGGACAGGGCTCTGCCCGAGGGGACCCCAAGGTGGCCACCTCCAGCTCACTGCCTGCCTCTCCTCTCTGCGGTCATGGCACCACACTGCACCCACAGCTGCGCCTGGCCCTGGACCAGCTGTGGGTGCTGAGTGGCGGGAAGGAGGTGGCAGGGGATGAAGAAGAGGAGGAAGGCAGCGAGGAGGACAGCACCTTCCTCATCTTCGCCTGGCCTGCTGGCTCCTGCCTCGCCC